AACATTCAAGAGGTTTTAGCCGTCGGTCGGACACCTCGCGTAATGCTAATGCCAGCAGTACTGCAACTTTCAAGTCTTACTCGAAAAATATTTCATGAAAAAAAATTTTATTATAGCGTTTTTGGAAAGCTCTTGAGGTGTGTTACAAGAACATGTAATAGTTAAAAAAATTCATGTTGACCTTGACCTGACTCTGGTAGTGTCCCCCAGAAAAAAAAAATCCGTTATTTCCACCTTCTTTTCCCCAAGAAAACCTACAACTTTTATATAAAACTTTTTCTTGTATCTCTTTTAGTTTCCGAGATATTTGCCTAGAGCGATTAAAATGCCCCACCCTGTATATATTCATATATTTCTAAAGTTATATTTTTTTTGGAATATCTTTATTTGTGCAAAAAAAAGATAACATCAAATCTATAATTCGAATTCCGCACCCTCCTGGACATTATAACATGAAAGAAATAAATATAGTCTGCAGCGTCTCATAGAGATTGCTTTTGTTTCATTTTTTTTTTAAATTATTACACAATTTTTTTCCTTGATATTTATTTTATAAATTTGAGATACACATAGTTCATATCATATGTTTATTTATACATATAAATTTGGTATTTATATTGCAAAGCAACATTACGGTTAAGAGCAAAAATTAAAACGGTAAAAATAAATTTTTCTGGGGAGCATTAATTTGTATTTATTACTATTATATGAGAAGTGCACGTATTACGATTAGTAAAAATTAGAAGTGTTGCACAATTTTCTAATTGTAAGAGAATAAAATGAATTATGCCAATTCTAAATGCTCCCGAATATTAAGCACGATATAAACTTTTCATTAGAATTTATATGTTCCAATTATTTGAAAAGTTTTATAATCACTATTATTGTACTTAAACGCGCGTAACGATTTTGTCATATTTTTCACATTTTTTCTTGTATTAGAATTAATTAATACATATTATTTCCTGTATTCAAAAGTAAAAAGGCGTAGAGAAAAAGAAGAGTAAAGAAAAACGTGAGATTTTCAGAAATAAGTTTAAAGATGGACAAGGAGTTTACAAACGTTAAACGCATTTATAATGGCGCACAATTCAATTATTCTATTTCTGAAAATTGCGACATACGAAAACGGACACACAGTACGTAATATTGACATGTGATTGCCCGTACATGTGTTTTACAAAATGATCCGAGGATTCGTCGTCTAATCACCCCGGACAATGATTCGCCTCGGTACAGGAATGTAAGACAACACATTTTACAATATCGTATGTGAAATCAGGAAATTACATCTTATTTAATCATCCATGTGTGTATTGTGTGTATATGTGTATGTATGTACGTATATATATGTGTGTGTGTGTGTGTACATATGCATACTTATAAACTTGTCCATTTTTTTCTTATTAGAGTCACTTCCACTTTATAAAATATTAGAACGAATGATCCTCCTCCAACTTAATTAACGACCACCTGTTTGTTCTTGATATACTTCAATGACATCATCATTTTCCATTTCCAGCTGAAATTAATGGTCTCTCTTTCATTAATAATATCTTTAATACTAGTTCAAAATATTAATAATGTGTAACACTGAAATATTGATTATTTATAGAAGTAACTATTTATATATGTAGGTGAATCAATAATTATTAATTAATTTATACTACTTTGATTTTTGAGGGTAAATTAAGATTACTTATTGACTTGCCTATTGTGTAAATAGAAAATTAATTATTTTCCTAATTTACATTTAACATATTTAACATGTATATGTTTCTTAGATAAATTTTAAACCCATCTTTTAAAATATTACAAATATTTAATAAAAGTGTACAACAAACATTACTGATACTAATTAGAAAATAAGATTTTTACTCCAGTAAAGTAAGATTTCATTTAATTGTCAATCAATTTCGAACGCGAACTATAAAATTGATTTACCTGCTTTGGTGTTTCATCATCGTTGATTCTTTTACCATCAAAAAGAAACCTAAGCGATGTCATAGGTACACCCTAAACAAAATTAGGAATATTATCGCGTGAGTAATATATCAATTTAAAGGCCGTATTCATAGTTGATTCTTATATTCAAAAATACAGTCTTAATATATCACGAACCAATCAGAGAGCCGCATTAGCGTCTTAAGACATTACTTAAGACAGTATTGAAATAAGAACCGACTATGAATACCGGCCTATATAGTCAAACCTTATATTTAAGACTTCCTTAAATTTAACTTCAGATACTTTATGAATTATTTCATTGGCTGCTAAGCATCTGAAGATAAATTTAAGGAAGCCTTAAGTACATACAAGGTCTAACTATGAATACGGGCATTAAGATAAGAATAGATACGAATATCGGCCTAACCCTATTCAGAATATCTGTTCATCAGATAATCTGTTCAGCCGTTATTGAGATCTGATAATATCAGGTCTGTTCTTTTCAGCTAAATTTCTTTACATAGTTCATCTTTTCTCTTTTTTTTTTCTCCAAAAAATTCAGCTGAAAAAACAAAAGTGCTCGTAATTTGCTGGCTTGCATGTAGATAAGTAACTCTCGTTGCGTCAACTATTGTAAATGCCTAAAAGAGAAGATAGAATACAATTCTCTCATAGGCGCTTACATTATTATCGCCTAGAAATTTTAATCGGAGTCTGACTATAAGAAGGGATCCGATGTTTTTCTTCAAAATTGTGCGAGTGAGAAAAGATACGTTTTATCTCGTTCTACAGTTATGCAACATAGAAAAAAACATGTTCAAAGATATGTAATATCTCACTTTGACTGAAGCAAATTTGATAAAAAAATGTCGGACCAATCATTAGTTGCTTGATCTCACGGTCAGGAGTACTTCCTAGGGTGCTTTCAGGAATTCAAGGCATATTATTTTATCCTTGTCATTCGCTAAATGTTAAATAATAAATCCATTTTCTGTAATTGAACTAGTGTACATTTTTAGAACTTAAAAGTGATACTGGTAAATGTTCGATATTTAACGAAAATAAGAAAGAGCGTTCTAGTGCTGTTTAATATAGGAATAAAAAACAAATCTAAGGCCGGGTCTATAATGAGTTGGTATAATCTGTGATCGGTGAGTTGGAAGCGAGTTTGAACGAGAGTCGGTGAGTCAAGATTGGTCGAAATTTTGAATTAGTAGAGTTGGCCAGCAGCCAACTTCTAAGATTACCAACTACTGACTCATTGTAGACCTAAACTAAGAATAAAATAATACTCAAATGCACCCAGGTGAAGTTTCTGAATGCAGCCCAGGGAATCGATTCTATATCTTGAAATGAAAACTACAAAAGTAAGCGAATTTACTAGAATAATTGTAATTTAATTAATCAACATCTAGTAAATTTGCTCACTTTTGTAATTTTCACTGTTTCAAAATATAGGGTGCCCTCCAATAAGAGACGTACATGGTACAATGAGACACACATATGTTTACATGGCTTGATTTACGCTAAAGTTCAATGTTATGAAATTGACCAATCATAGCTATTCCTCTGAAGAATGGAATGACTGTGATTGACTAATTTTTCATGACATGTTATAACTTTACTGTAAATCAAGCCGTAGTCGTAATTGACCAATCATAGCTATTCCTCTGAAGAATGGAATGACTGTGATTGACTAATTTTTCATGACATCAGTGTTATAACTTTACTGTAAATCAAGCCGTAGTCGTAGTGAATCATTACATTCTTGTTGTTCACTGATGTTAAACAAGAATGAGATGATCACTGTGTTATACCAAGTCGTTTGTTGGAAGACACTCATAGAATTGACTCCCAGATTAGATTTCTCGGCGCTAAAACATAATAATGTAGCCGGCTGATTGCATTCGATTGAACATCAGAAAATACACTTTGTAATCCAATACAAAAAATTTTGCAAATTACGTTACAAGTTGGAATAATTATTTTCAGAACAATATCTCAAAATTACAAAAATATTATCATCAAATAAAGATGCAATCACAATGGAAGGAATAAAGATTTTAAGAAATCAGATACACCAGAATACAGTTTCTAATAGAATAAGGAGTAATGTTGGAATCGTTACTCCTTACTCCTAATTCCTTTTATTGTGACTACACCCTAAGGATTATCAATCCTCAAGATTCTGACATCACAACTATGAAGTTATCAGATATGCGTCAATAAAATGAAATGAAGCTTCTAGAATATTCTATTTCTTTATCAGTTCACATTCTTATTGCATTACTTTGATAAAACTCCGCATGGAAAACAAGATACAGAATATGAGATCAAAAGATAATAAACGAGGGAACTCACCACGCGATCACTGTAGGACTTCTTTAGCTTGCCCATCTGAGTGGTCATCTTTACCCTAAAGTGAATCTCGTTGCTGTCCTGGAAGAAAAAATAGATCTAGTGTGCCTTGCGCGCGCGCAATAATTGATGTTTCTAGCATATATCGCTTACGTTTCCAACAACTTTGAGCTTGATGTACTCTGAATTCGCGTCGCCTGGACCGGCTTCGGGTTTTTGTTCCTAGTAGCACACGAGAAGGTTAGAACGCTAGTTCATTCAAACTCACGGCGAAGTTCGATTCGGGATATCCCGGCGAACTAATTGCCGCCGGCCACGGCCGCAGCCGCGAAAGCGCCGCGACGAGACCGCGGGGACGCCGATCGCGTATTGGGGTGGCTTACCTGATTGTCGGACATCGTTATCAATTAAATTACAACAAACTTCTTCACCACGCGCCAGAAAACGCTAACCAAACACAAGATCGCAATATGGCGCCGAGTTTTTGTTAGTTTCCACAGTCTAGTCCACTTCTTGTGCCGGGAGCAAACGAAGGACCGTAACGGTCGGCCGTTCACAAACTTATTCAATTTTTTCTCGCGACGCGAATGAAGTTAGGTTAGGCTAGTTAAAATTAGGCTAGGTTATCGTATTTAAAATAAGACATGGGGGTGGAGGCTGCAATTCGTGGAGTTTATGAACATTCTTTTAGGCCCAGTTTCACAACTCACGGTTATGCTGGATTCACACTGCATCCGATTTGCGTCGTACGACGCTCTGTAACCAATCAGAAAACAGGATTCCGATGGATTTTGCTTCGCATCATCGGAATTCTGTTTT